GGTTTTCTTTTATTGTTTGTTTTTTATTGTTCCGTGTGTCGTTTTGGAGTGTTCCTACTTTACCTTTGAAAAGTAAGCCGTGCAGTTTTGGGTTGTGCCTACTTGAAATATACACTATCTTTATGAAGCGAAATTTCAGCTGACATGTGGCCATCCGGACTGGGCACTATTATATTGATTTGGCCCATTAATATCCGGGTATCTATGTAGCCCCATGGTTTCTGTATTGATCTGGCCCGTTAATATCCGGGTATCTATGTAACCCCAGGGTGTCTGTATCGATCTGGCCCGTTAATATCCGGGTATCTATGTAACCCCAGGGTGTCTGTATCGATCCGCACCTTATTTCCGGCTCACTGAGATGACGAAATTGGCTAGGACAGATAAGGTTTGTATTTATCAGAAGTCGTACAAGTCGTATATTAGATCTGATCCAATACACACGACTGACCAGTGAGGAGAGACATTTAATCTGATGATCAGTGATATTTTTATCTCTTATAATATATATATATATATATTTCTTTTTTCTTTTTTCTAAGTATTTTTCACATTACAATAACATATACATTTCATTATACATAATACGTAATTCCACTTTCACACATACTTTCATACTAATTAATATTGCTCTTTTTGTAAGTGGTATTTTAATTTTTTGTAATGTTATATTATAAAGGAAGGAAAATCAGATAAGAGAAACAAGAAAACAAAGAAATAGAGGAAATAAAGATAGGTAAATGGACAGACAGACAGACAGACAGACAAGAGGAGAGGTACCAGTATTAAACAAACCAATTTAAAGTAATATATAGGTATCAGTAGCTAAGTAATTAAGATAATACATTGACTTCCATTTTTTCCACTCATTCTGGAAGTTAATGAGATATATTTCGTCTTTACTATTTGCAATATATTTTTGAATACTGTAATGTTCTTTTATTGAACTTTTAATTCCTTGTATAGATAAAGGCACTTTAAGACTTCTTGCCTTGTATATATACTGTTTTATTATTAAAATAATACTATTGTCACTTTTATTAAGTCCATTATAGTGATAAAAACCAAAAAGAAATGCTTGTTTATTATAATCAAATGGAGTAATCAATGCATCTAATAAGGATTAAAATTTTGTAAAAGATTTTGTACTTTGTCACATTCCCATAATACATGCTCTATTGTCTCTATTTCTAGTTTACACAGTTCACAGTAAGGGCTATCTACTATTCCTGTCTTAAATAAATATGCAATAGTTGTCAAAATGTGCTGATTAATTCTGTACTGGAACCACTGTAATTTGTTTTTTTTCGTAATTTTAAATGGCATTTTATATATTTTTTTCCAAACTTCATCATCAAATTGAAATATATCATCCCATTTTTGTTTACCTGTTGAAATAGTATCATTTTTTCAAAATAAGCTATACAAATCTCTTATCCCCTTTTTGTTTTTCAAAAACATTTCTATATTAATTGGTAAAAATGGATAGTTTACCTCTACATTTGACAAACCTTGTTGTATATCTCTTATATATTATTATCTGCTTCAATCTTAGCAAATCAGGTAATACAGTCATCGCCTGGAGTTTACTAAGTGCCAGAGGACTTGTTGTATCATTTCCACGTTCATGTTGTATTTGTTCCAGATTACAATATCTGTCCATCATAAGTTTGCCTCTATAAATTGCAAGAACTGTTGATGATACACACACACAATCATTTTTAAAACATTGTGAATCTTCATCTTCCCAGCATAAAGAGAACCAATACTTATCGTCTTTGCTGAAAGGTCATCACATGATTTCACGGTCGAAAACTCCATAATCAGGTAGTCCCTCTTCTGTTGAGTCCAGATCGACAGAAGTGTTCGGGAATGTAAAGGCCGATGCCGCCCATATCGTTCCTGGTATGCGTGCGCTATGCCAGGATTCTTGCGGAGAAGGGTTGCCGACCGTCTTCGGAGTAATCGGTCTAGAAGTGGCCGAGTTGCTCACTCCAATGGTTCCTCGTAAGCTTGTTCCTATGAGCGTTATAACTTTAACTGGAGGGCGGCATTTTATCCTCTGCTCTTGCTATGGTAAACGGCAATGACGTCAAATGCTGCTCTTCTCCATGCCCATTCCAGGCTTCTTCACCAGTAATCTAACATTAGCTTGTTTGGAACACATTGGAACCTTTGACTCAGCCACTGATTGTTCCTTATTGACATTATCAAAAGAAGCTCTGACGCAGGACATTACTTCAGTAGGCATGTGAAATCGGATTCAGCTAACAAGGTTTTGTGTAAATCTGGCGCAACACGTCCTGGGATGTTAGTGAGAGCTGTGCCACCATCAGACAGGGGCATACGCCGTAGATGTCACAAACGCATTATTTTGTCAAAAGGTGCTGATTTTTGATAGACAGCTGGTTGGATGATGTTATCTTATCTGAACGTTACTCCTTCTTGGCTGTAGGATGGCAAATTTAGCCATTCGCTACCGTTAACTGCCTTTCTTTGTAAAACTCCTCAGTGTACAGGGGAGCATTTGGTCTCATAGCAGTCGTCTTCTATGCAGAAAACGGGGGTACTGGAGATTATGCTTCAACAAGATCAGCAGCTCCACCTTAGTCACACTGACTCAGTGATGTACGGAAACTTCGTAATATTTTTGGAAGCGGAACTCCTTCCTTTCAGGATCTTGTTACAGTAACCACATATTAGTGTCATCCACACCACCAGATTAATTTCCTTTGAATTACTTTGACGATCATCCACCACCGATATCATTTGGTAAATGACACAGCCATTTCTCTTTGTAATATTATGTCTTCTGGTGTGGGTAGCTTCTGTTAAAATTTGAATCAGTCCGAGTGACTCTTAAAATCTGCCTAGCAGTGATATTGATTATATTCTTCTTTGTTTTTAAATTGAAGCTAAACACTGTATATGAATTGAATCTAAAATTTAAAAACCTTGTGATCAGGATTCACTTTTCACAAACAGACACCAAATCACCAGATCATATGTTCCCACTCGGCCCAATCCTCGTCCCAGCCCCAGTCCTATATTCTACCCTGCGTTGCCCCTCATCCCAGCCCTATCTGTTCTGTTAGACAAAATCAATAACGAGCACGGACTGCCGTTCACGGTCATATAACCACATATTACACAATTATCGATACTTTTGTTACTTGAACGCTAAAGATAAAATAACTGTTTTTATGATCGCATAAATTTATGCATGTTATTTATGGATTTTCCGATAGAACTTCTGGGACACAGTTGTACCAATCTGTACAGACACTGATTGCTGTGTCTGGGATACAGTTGTACCAATCTGTACAGACACTGATTGTTCTGTTTGAGATACTGTTATACCAATCTGTACAGACACTGGTTGTTGTTTCTGGGATACAGTTGTACCAATCTGTACAGACCCTGATTGTTGTGTCTGGGATACATGTGTACCAATATGTACAGACACTGGTTGTTGTTTCTGGGATACAGTTGTACCAATCTGTACAGACAATGGTTGTTGTGTCTGAGATACAGGTGTACTAATCTGTACAGACACTGATTGCTGTGTCTGGGATACAGTTGTCCCAATCTGTACAGACACTGGTTGTTGTGTCTGAGATACAGGTGTACCAATCTTTACAGACACTGGTTGTTGTTTCTGGGATACAGTTGTACCAATCTGTACAGACACTGGTTGTTGTGTTTGGGATACAGGTGTACCAATATGTACATATATTGATTGTTGTGTCTGGGATACAGGTGTACCATTCTGTACAGACACTGGTTGTTGTGTTTGGGATACAGGTGTACCAATATGTACATATATTGATTGTTGTGTCTGGGATACAGTTGTACCAATCTGTACAGACACTGATTGCTGTGTCTGGGATACAGGTGTACCAATCTGTACAGACCCTGATTGTTGTGTCTGGGATACAGGTGTACCAACCTGTACAGACACTGATTGTTGTGTCTGGGATTCAGGTGTACCAATATGTACAGACACTGATTGCTGTGTCTGAGATACAGGTGTACCAATATGTACAGACACTGGTTGTTGTGACTGAGATACAGGTGTACCAATCTGTACAGACACTGGTTATTGTGTTTGGGATACAGGTGTACCAATATGTACATATATTGATTGTTGTGTCTGGGATACAGGTGTACCATTCTGTACAGACACTGGTTGTTGTGTTTGGGATACAGGTGTACCAATATGTACATATATTGATTGTTGTGTCTGAGATACAGGTGTACCAATCTCTACAGACACTGGTTGTTGTGTCTGAGATACAGTTGTACCAATCTCTACAGACACTGGTTGTTGTGTCTGAGATACAGTTGTACCAATCTGTACAGACACTGGTTGTTGTTTCTGGGATACAGTTGTCCCAATCTGTACAGACACTGGTTGTTGTGTCTGGGATACAGTTGTACCAATCTGTACAGACACTGATTGTTGTGTCTGGGATACAGGTGTACCAATCTGTACAGACATTGATTGTTGTGTCTGTAATACAGGTGTACCAATCTGTACAGACACTGGTTGTTGTGTCTGAGATACAGTTGTACCAATCTGTACAGACACTGGTTGTTGTGTTTGGGATACAGGTGTACCAATATGTACATATATTGATTGTTGTGTCTGGGTTACAGGTGTACCAATATGTACATATATTGATTGTTGTGTCTGGGTTACAGGTGTACCAATATGTACATATATTGATTGTTGTGTCTGGGATACAGGTGTACCAATCTGTACAGACACTGATTGTTGTGTCTTGGAGACAATTGTGCTGAAGATACGTTTTTTCAGTAGAAATTAATCGGTTACAAGATGTTATTTTCTGACATCATTTCATATGTATTTGCATGAGAGATGTATAACAGGGATTAGAGATAACATGAAAACTAATACAATTTTCATTTCTAAATTTTACACTAATTGACCTGTAGCAAAAAACATACAAAGAGTGTTTTGGCACTGCATGTTTCAGGAGATGTGACGTCACAGAACCTTGCCTGCTATGACTGTGAAGATACATTTACTGATGTGTGGGACCCGTACACAGATTGTCAGGTCAGACTGGACCTAGTGGACAACAAGACATGTCTGGTCAGCGAGGAGTACTGTCTGGTAATGTTCTCCTCTTTATCTTTAATATTGAAACTACAACCACACAACGGCGTCTAGAACACCGGTACTACACTGTCCTTGCTAGTCATGACACGACATAACAAGTTGGATACGTGATTCAGAATATTGGCCTTCAATGTCATTTATCTGGTAAATAATAGCAACAATGATCATAAATAACATTCACAAAAAACGCTCTATATAATTGATGAAACAACTCAAAGGGCAATGATATACAGCAAAAAAAGAGTTAACATATTCAACAATCAGAGAAACAGCTGAAAAGTACATCGTTCTTGTGTCACATAGTAAATAAGGATGTTTATATGATTTTAACTTTCAAGGCAGTTTTCGTTTATCGCAATCCAAATGGTTGGACCACAGTTGCTCGTTTATGAAATACGGGACCAAGCCTTGCAAAGCCTGCATCTATTATAACTGTTGCTTCTATACGTTCAGCGACATCACGCCTGGTTAAATAGAAATACGACTTATGCACCAGGTTATCTACTAAAACTATGAACACCACATCAATATATTGAAAGTAACTGTACATTCCTGTATTTCTACTAAAACTGTACTCACCACATCTATATATTGAAAGTACCTATACACACCACATCTATATATTGAAAGTACCTATACACACCTGTATATCTACTATAACTATACACACATGTATATATACTATACCTATACATACCTGTATAGGTATAGTATACACCGCTCGTTTTCCTTCCAGGGGGCATTTGACCTAATGATTCATTATTGCACAGTTGGTCTGCTATCTCGCCTGACTGCTGCTTCTATCTTGAAAAAGCACTTGCGCATCATCGAATGGTCCTATACTGGCATATCGTAGACCTAAACACATTAGATATCTTGTGGTAAGCAGCAAGCTACCTACACCAAACCCTGCTGCGGCGAAAGGCTCTTTAAATACCTGTAACAAAAAGGTGTGCAAACTGTGTCCATACACGCGCTCCACAGATACATTTTAATGTACAATCAACGGCAAAGTGTATCACATACTACAAACGCTGACATGTACATCAGTCAATGTGGTGTACCTTATTACCTGCATTAAATGCAAGTTACAGTACGTGGGCGAGACCTGCACCCAGCTCAATGTCAGGATCAACAACCACCGCTGCTCCATCAAGCAGAACAAACCAGACTTCCCTGTGGCAAGGCATTTTAATATGCCTAGCCATAGTTGGAAAGACATGCAGGTTGTTGCCATAGATCATTGCCCTACATGGGATGAAACGAGACGACGTACGAGAGAACGGTTTTGGATCACCAATCTACAAACCCGCTACCCTCGAGGTATGAACGAACGATAGGCGGTTGCCATCCGCTCGTTTTCCTTCCAGGGGGCATTTGACCTAATGATTCATTACTGCACAGTTGGTCTGCTATCTCGCCTGCCTGCTGCTTCATGTCAGTGTGTGTGACCAACAGCCGTTGTCAGATTTATTTTGCAGATTTATACAGTATCTTAGCCATTT